AATCATCATGGTTTGGCTCTACATTAATTCGGGAAGCAAACAGCGGGCCTCCGTGTTAAAGTCCGGGGTTTGTTTGACCCATCCACCTCTGCTCCTGACCACCCTATAGGAGGGACTTTACAGCTCCTTACAGCAAGTTGTTATCGGTTGAACCTGACACTGCGAAAGGTTACGTCAGACTATGTTATACCAGGATATCATAGTATTGCGAAATGGGGCTTTTGGTGAAATCCCTGACTAAGTGACGATATTTGATGACTTTGGAATGAGAACAAGCTGTCGTCTCAGTTTACGCCTGTTACAAGCATTATGTCTTCCCAAACTACACTTCCATTCACACAGGAAATGTACAGTTTGTACTCTTTTTCAAAATAAACTTAAACATCGTTATTTATGTTTATTTCCTTGTGCAACAAAAGCTTGTGGTTAGGTTTAGAAAAAATCATCATGGTGTGGCTCTAGGTTTATACGGGAAGCGAACAACAGGCTCCCGCGTTAAAGTCCAGGGTTTGTTGGACCCATCCACGGCCCCAGCCATCCACCCTACAGGGACTTTCTAGCTCCTGATATTATATTGTTATGGGCAGTGTTTCAAACTGACGTCATCCAGCAGCCTTATAAACTGACGCACCTTTTGCAGCAGTATGATACACTTACATTATAATGCCGTTGCCAAATGTGCCTTTCTGTGACCGTGTCTGATGCTGTAATCACTGACAAAGCAGTGGTATTTGACGACTTGGGAATGAGAGCAGGCTTACATATCATATCAGCATTTCTAAAGTGACGTATTTGAGCTGACTTTGTCATCAGGAGGTGGAGGAGATGGTGGATGATGTGACATCAAGCTGCAGACCACTGTTCAACACCAACAAACAGAGAGTCATTGCTGAGTTACCAGCAACTTTTTAGCCACCAAACGTGGGTGTTTTTGGCCAAAACATGATCTTTTCCTAAAAAATGTTTTTTTGAGCCTAAACCTAACCCTACTTAAAAAAGCAATGATAAAGTACAAATGTAATGTATGAGTGGTTCGCAGGAATGCCAGAATGTATTCTGGCGACTGGGTTTGGCCAAAAAAAGCTCCAGTAAAGGCTCAACTTTTAAAGTTTTTACTGGAAGCAAACCTGAGACAGTAAAAACAACAAATTCAATGAGAGTAATGTTGAAACAGAAGAAGAGTTAGATCTCAGAGCTCTTGTCAGTGTTTTGCACTTTCCTTCTGTTCATTTGAAACACTTTACAGCTCCTTTCACTGAAAAGTATGAATATATTTCACATATTTTTATGCACATTTCTACCTGATACAGTACTGTTTTCTCTTACTGTATATTTGGACTGTCGTGCACCTTGACACGGAGCCAAATGTAAAAACCAACTTGGCAATAAAGCTGTTTCTGACTCTGGCAGTAAAAATGAATCAGTGCAGTAACAAGGAAACTCACAGAGGCACAGACTGTCAAATGAGTTTCCAGAGATAAAAATAAAAGGCCAGAAAAAAAGTATCACCAGTTAAAGAACAGCATCGAGTCTCGCTACACACTCGTTAGTGATACTAGTAACCATCTACAGGGGTAGAGGTAAATGAAGTGTATTAGCAGCACGTTGACCTCAGGCAGTTTGTACAGTGGTCAGTTTGTTCAGCACTTAAGTGTCTGACTCCAGCGGGGCGTTCAGAGAGCACAAAGACAGCGTCTGTCAATATTCCCTCGGTCACAGATCTGATGTCAGTTAACTGCTCCTGCAACACAATGTTTAACTGAAACAACTGCTGGTGGCCGATCCAGCAGCATTTACACGCACAAAGCGAGGGGTCAGAGGTCGTAGCTGCTGTTGAACAAAGTTTGCCTGCAGGCTGCTGTCCAGCTGAACTTGTGTGCTGAGTCTCTGCTCTGCTGCTGTTGTTGAAGTGAGTGGAGTTTAGAGTTTGTTCAGCCGTTCAGCTCTGAGGGCGTCCGTGCTTTATAAGCCTCCTGCTGACACGACGTTCAGAGGCAAAGCACTTATTAAACAGCCGCTCTGAACTCAGCAGCCACTCGCACATGACTTAACATTTTTGCAAGCACCTTGCTTTTGCATGGGAAGTGCTTAAAAACTAAAATCCACAGCAGCGGCGGGCGTGAGAATGTGGGGAGGGGAGCGCGGCTGCTACTCAGCACTCCCCGGGATTAGACTGTACACATCAACCCGCAAACAGACAGAAAAGCCGACTGTAGCTCCTTTTGCAAAAAAAAAAAAAAAAAAAAGGGAGGCAATGAATTTAAATTATGCATGAAGCACAGGGCATTTTGGGAAATAAGCGCCATTCCCCGGGAGGACTGGCACCCCCTCCGCCCCCCACAAGCCTCCAGCCTCCAGTATCAAAGAATGATCTAATGTCACGCACAGAAGAAAGGTTACTTTCTGCATACGCATTGATATTTCTGCTTCCATCTCTGACCTTTTTCCATTCTAAGCTGTGATTCTTTAAATGCGAACTCAGCCCTGCGTCTGCCTGTCTGTCAGTTCCTGTCTGTCCATCCATCCGTCTGTCTGTCTGTCTGTCTCAGAGGATTAAAGCTAGATTAATACAAAACCAACATGAGAGAGAAATCACAACCTTAATGTTCACAACATGAATCTGCGAAGCATCTCCTGTCTGTCGTCTTTCATCGTGTCGTTTCTCGCAGGTAAAGACAGAAAAAAGCATCAACAGTGTTGTTATTTTTGCCTTAATTGGCTGTTTGTGCAACATAATTAACGTTTTAACGAATTCGAGCGTGTATTTTTTTCCTCCTTTAAATCAGCTGATCCGGTTTCACGCTCAGCGCCCGCCGTTTGAAATGTGGCTTCCGTCTTTCAGCAACGAATTAAGCAACGTTCCTGGCACTTTGTGAACTATTAGTGACTTTAAAAATACACACTGAGCTTTAATTAATTTCCTTCAAATGGAGAGCTGTGTGTGTGTGGATAAAGGGATAAAGACAGTTTTAATCAGCAGCTCGTGCTCCTGCCAGCCAGCCTGTACCTACGCAGCTGAACTGTGACACCGCACAGGTTTCAGGTTTGTTGGTTTTTAGGGCACAGAAGCAACATTTACACAGAGAAATACAAATGTTTGTGACTGGAAAGCTTCATCTGTCTTCTGTCAAATACAGTTGCATTTACTGTCAACTTTAACTTTATTATCTCAGAGGAAATTGTTGTGCAGCCAGGCACTAAACAAAATCACAAGCATCCATTCACACGACAACACAAACACAACAAATATCAATAAAAGAGACACAACAGGGGGAAAAAGTGGAGTCACTGAAATGCAAACACACAAGAAACTAAGGTTCATCAAAAATATAAAAATAAGGTAACATACAGAAAACTGTGAGGTAGTTCAGCTCATTCTGTGTATGATAATAATAATAATAATAATAAATAGTTGTAATGGTAATTTTATTCATATAGCACTTTGTAAAAGGTTTCACATTTAGGTGAGATATGCACATAAATATTCAAATGCATGTGTTAACACATATGCACACATATATACATACACATGAGCACAATACATAGACAAGAGTTACATGACCAAAATAAACTAATGGCAGACAGAGTGAATTAATAAAAAAGGCCAACCTACAGAAATCAGTTTTCAGCAGCTGCCTAATGAAAAACACAGATTTTGCACATTTGAGAGAAACAAAGAGAAAGCTTGGTCACCTCTGGATTTAAAGTAGGAACAGTGAACAGATAGACCTGGTCAGATGATCGAAGTAGACAATAGTTACGGATCACTGTACATTTATTATGTTGATCTGTTCTGTACGACATCTATTGCACATCTGTCTGTCTTCCTGAGGTTTCTGCCATTATTTCCCCGTTAAAGGTTTTTTTTGGGGGGAGTTTTTCCTGACCTGATATTGGACTTGGATACTGGATAAATAGAATTAAATAGTGTCATCACGATACAATATTATAGGCTATCGATTCTTTAGACAATTATTTAGACAATTTTCTCCAAAATCGAAAATATTTCCAACTTCGCCAATTAGTAAATAAAAAAAGTAAATATCATTATCCTGCCTGGTGCTGTTTTGCGGTGACAGAATTTCAAACTAGAAGCGTATCATAAAGATGACGAGATGCATAGATGTTTTCACTTTGCATCGATGATATTGGATTGTTGAATCAATCCATCAGTCTAAATTTATTGAAATAGGAGCTCAAAATATCTGCTTCATATGCAGGGACCAGGTCGTGCATGGCCTTGTGAGTAATTATTAAAATTTGAAAGATAAATTCTGCTTTTAAAAGAAGCCAATGAATGGAGGTGGTGATGTGGGACTGATGAGTAGTCTTTGTCAGGAACCCAGCCACTGCATTTTGTACCATCTGAAGTCAAGCTATAGAGGACTGTGTAATGCAAGTGAAATGGGAGTTGCAATACTCAAAATGCTGGTCAAACAAGATACCAAGATTCTCTTGAAATTGCCAGCTAGGGAGCCAGTGGCTGACCTCCTTAGTAAAGCAATCAGGGCTGATCGTAAGAACTTCAGTTTTGTAAGAAATAAGAGAAAGGAAATACTGAGATGTCCAAGTTGTAACGGAAGCACTGTGTTGATGAAGGATGATAAGGTTATTTAGATTATTAGGTTTAACCAAGATATAAAGCTGTGTATCATCAGTATAGCAACCGCAGGAGGTCCCACTAGAGGACTTAAGCAGATTGCCCAGCATATATAATGAAAACAAAAAGGTCCCAGGATAGACCCCTGTGGGACTCCACATAAGAGAGGAGCGGAAGACAACGCACAATTGTTCACGTAAACCTTGAAATGTCTGTCAGACAAGTATATGGAAAACCATTTAAGTGCAGTTACCAGAGACACCAACCAGATTCTGAGAGCAGAGGATGTTGTCACTCCCCGAGAGCACTCTGCACCTCAGCTTCATCTCCATGCTTCACTATTTTATACTCTGCTCCCGTTTCAGCGTTACTCATCCTTTCTTTGTCTTTCTCGTTTCAGACCTCAGGCCTCTTCCCGACGTGGCAATGACCGGTAACTGCACTCGTGAGTGCACTGAGTTTGGCCACTCCGACTCCTGCTGGATGCCTGGCGAGCCTTCCCCTACCCGCAAGGTGTCCAAGAACGCCCCCAAGCTCTCCACCTTCGTGCCTTACCAGGAGATGGACGGGCAGGAGCAGCTGATGGCCAACGGCAGCCCCAAGCCCCTGACAGAGGAGCGCGGGACGGGTGGTGGCGGCGGTGGCAGTGGCTCCAAAGTGGCCAACATGCGGTTCATGACTCCCTACAGCAGTGCCTACCCCGGGGGCGGAGACTCGTCCGGTAAAGACTGTGGGTTGGAGGAGATCCCGCTGAGCCAGGCAGTGGAGTATCACTCGGCCACTACTCCGACTGGCCAGACCTCCAAGAGGGAGATCTACCTGTGAGGGCGCAGCTCTCCACCTTAAACCTCCTCATCGCCCCTCATCATCCCCCTGTCGCTGCTCGCCGCCACCCGCCCCACCCCCTCACTGCCGACCCCTGTGCCTATTACTCGCTGTGCCGCAGCACCGACTTCCCTTCTTCCTTTTTATAACTGCATCCACCTTACAAGGCTTTAGACCCCGCCCACCTCGCCCACTGCCACCGCCACCACCCTCCTCTAGAAACCAATCAAATGTAAAATAGAATTAATTAAAATCAACTGAAGAAAACACGCGGCGGCCGCTGCTGCGGAAGGAATGTAAACTACACCACATCGTTGTGATAATTTAATGGGAAACTATTTAGCTACTCACGTATTTGAGTTGGATTTTTGTGCGTTGCTTTAGGCTATGTTGCTGTGTTGGAACAGAAAAAGAAAAAACACCTTCGGGGGGAGAAGGAAAAGAACTCTTTGTAAATCCTACTTAAGTATACTGTGTAATGCTATCTATCCTGAATATTTTTTGGAATTGTTTGATTTCGTTTTTCATTTTTCTCTGTCAACTCCGGGAAATACATTTTTGAGCCGAGTTGCATCAAATCAACCGGGCTCGTTTTTATCAGGAACAGCTCGCCGTCAACGTAAGACGTTCACAGAAACGCAGCTGTTTTCCAACCTCCGGAGTTGTTGTGGAGAACTTTTCCAGGTCTGTTTATTTTTTGCCGTGAAGAGGTCTTTTTTCAGTGTACAGAGCTGTAAATATGACAAACAGTGACAGAGGAAACTGCAGTGGCTGTGAGTGTGGACCCGTGGCTGTCGTGCTGTCTGCAGATCTTCTTGTAACATCAGATCGATGGACTGAAATATTTCGCATTTACAGAGAAACGACGCTGCGGCGTCCGACGTCACGCTGCAGGAACCTGGACTCTTGAGCATCACCGACGGTGCCGAGTTACAAACACAAGACTTTTTTTTTTTTTTCTCTCTCCTGTACAACACACTTCTTCAATTTGGGTTCACGAGGGAGACAAAATCATTCGAGGTGCAACGAAACCAGTTTATTAAGAACTGAGAGAAATCTGAGTTCTTCAGTGGATCAGCCAAAGGATTTAATTTATAATATCAATGCTCTTGTCAGTAGTATACCATAAAATCAAAAGTTAGATTTATTCTCACAAAAAAAGTCACATGAAAACAAATAGTTTAATGTCCTGCTAACTACATCTTCAGGCAGCAGTGTTCATTGTAGAGCCGAAACTTTAAAGTCTATCAATAAAAGAGCACCAACAGTTTTGATATTTTATCTATCAGAAGATAATTTTTTAATTGTCAAACGTTCTTTGGCTCCAGCTTCACCAATGTGAGAATTTGCCATCCTTATTTGTTTTATATAATTGTAAATGGAATACATGTATTTGAGCCTTACAGGAAGTTAAAAGTTTATCCTGAATTTGTTGCTAGAGGAAAGTCAGATTGAAATCAAAGGGGTTCAACCTCTGAGGAGCAGGAATGCTGTTAGTAAATGCACGCTGATGCTTAGATTTTGATATTCAAGTTTAAGTAGAAGTATCAAAATATACCTGATAGTGGCGCTAAAAGAAGATCAAGATCTTTTTTATTTTTTATCTTCTGGGGAACATGAATATTTGTCATTAATTTCATCCATATGCCCCCCTTCATTCTGTTCATTGTTAGGGATCAAATCATAAGTCAAGTTTGGAAAATTTGTCCTAATGACGATGCAAGAGGAAAAGGTCGAGAGGTCACTGAAATCAAAGGGGTTCATGCTCAAAGTAGAAGAATCAAAATTTGCCTGATCATGTTGCATGCACAGAAATCAGATGTCAATTTTTTTTAGTAGCTTCATCCTCTGAGGAACGTGAATAATTACGATTAATTTCGTCCATATTCGCCACTTTGCTCTGCTCCTTGCTATGGATCAAATCATAAGTCAGATTTGAAAAATTCGTCCTGATGGTGGTGCTAGAGGAAAGACCAGGGAGGTTTCATCCTCTGGGGAGCATGAACGTCACAGTCAGTGTGATATCAGCCCGGGTGGTAGTTGATCTGATATTCTACTTAGGTGCTGGACAGAGGGCTCAGTTTTTATTGTTGCTAAGGCAATGACAGTGCAGGGACACTAAGGTACACAAGACCTGCAAACACTGACCAATGAGAGCAAAGTGAGCTTTTCCAAGAGGGCGGGGCTTAAATAGACAGATGCTACAACTCAGACAAAGGGTGAATCCAGGTGTTCCAGCAGACAGGATAAGGAAAATGGTGTTTTTACACTTAAACACATTACAATATGTTTTAGTAGAAACCCAGAACACACATCTGAACCTGAAAACGAGCCTCATACGTCCCTTTTTGTGCCTGATATGTGTTGTTGATGCAGCTGCTGACAGTCCTGCAGATATCCGCTCACCTCTGCACGTCACAGCTGAGTTGGCTGAGTGTGTTATTTGTGGTTTCCCCGCTGTGTGTTGGAGCTCTCTGGTCAGTGTCGCCCCTCGTTACTTCCCACCTCTTTACCTCCTCAGTGTGAGGCTGAGCCGTTTGGCGTTTAGCAGAAGTATTTATTAAACCTGTTAGCTCTGTGCGGCGGGGGAGGTGGGCGCCACTTCCCGCGGTGCTGCAGTCTCACACAAACCCAGGATTAATGACACCTGTACATGCTTCAGTCCACTAACACCCCCAACCCTCCCTCCGTTCACACGGCACAGCAGAGAAACCCTAATTACAACCCGAGGCTCTGCACATTACCGGCGATAATTTGCGACAGTAAAAAGCGAGCTGGTTTGGAAGTTCATTCATTCTGAGTGTCGTGTTAATGGCTGCTGAGGGTAATGTGAGATTTCACCTGTAGTGATGCACACCAGCTGAGACTGGATGGATGAAAGTAGAGGCACAGTGAGAGAGAACGCTACAAAAAGTCTCCCTAACAGGTCATTTAGTCTCCAACTGAGGCCTGAAGTCTTAAACAAAGGAGAAATCAGCCGGCGGAGGGAGATTAGTTCACCTGTTTCCAAGTCAGGAGTCACCTGAGTAAAGGACTGAGCGACAAAGAATCTGGCATCTGTCTCAACCTCAGGCTCTGGACCCCAAGTTGATTCAAAAACTTGGCAGAAATCTTAACTCAGTTGCAAAAGTGGATCACTAAAACATAGCCCCATCTGCAGAAAGACTTTCACATCTATGAAGGTGAAGTTTGTGTGCAGACAGCCTCTTGTTTTCCATCGTGTGCAGCCGTCCTGCATTTTTGAAAACCTGCACCCACCCATACACGTACCAATTACCCGTCATTATGTCTAAGTCAAACCCGCACCCGCCTGCACTCATTAATAAAAGTCCCGCGGTCGGACCTGCACCCGTGATCAAACCCCCCAGACTCCAGTCCCTCACATTGAGCTGGTTCTCCGTTCTTGAACTGGACATCTCTTTGACTGGATGGTGAACACATCCAATCACTGCCAGGTTAGGAAACATGTTAGCATGCTCCTTCCACCACCATCAAACCTCCAAAGGATCCTCCTTGGGTGTCTTGAACTCCATGTAGGCTGCCACCTCATCCTCGGGCTGCAAAGTTTCATGGCTGGAGTCCTCCACGTCGGTGACCAATGTGACCATGGGGTCAAAGGTTACACTTGTGTCACTGACTTTCAAAATAAAAGGAACTGCAGCTTGATAATAGTGATTTAGATGTTAGAATGTTACACATACACTGCACATCTTTTTACTTGGTAAAAATAGAAAGTATATTTTCTCACCTGCTGTTCGCCCACGTGAAGTTCATTTTTACCCGTACCTGCTATTGGTTGTTGGCAGTCGTCATGTCATTGAACTTCTGTATTTGCATGAGCCAACACTAAAAACTTATGATAATGTTAAACATGATTGATTTTATCAGAACATCAAGATGAGACAAAGACTGAAGCTCAGACTGGGCTTTAATGACCCTTTAACACCAAACCATTGAGATCACAGGAGCAAAACTCTCCTGATTTCATTCTCACATTGGAAATTTGTCTGTGACGGTGAAATCGTTTGAAAAGTCGTTTGATGTCAGGTGTTTAGATTCTTTGAATATTAATGAACAGAGATAAGATGGGAGTTTCCAGGATCGCCTTGATGTTAAATGTTTTAAATCAAACTACAAATCATGCTGACCTCTTCCTGGAGAAGTGCTGTGTCAGTGTGTCTCATTTCTAGAAACTTCCTGAAACACGGAGCGCTGCTGTGGGAACACGTGGGATTATCTCACCCTGGTTGGCAGAGAAGTCTCGACGGCTGAATATGAGACTAAATGACTTGTCATTTGTTTTTCTGCAGCGTGTGTGATGTGAACATCCACCCTCCAGAATCACAGAGGGAACATCAAAGTGACGCCGCCGGGCTGCGGCATCTTCAAAGTCTAAACAGGCAGCAAAATGGGGCCACCGCGGGGTCGCCGAGGGGTCGCACTATCTGGTTTTATTAGGCAAACAATCGCCTTCGCCGAGCGAATCGGATCGCTCCACTCTACTGCTCTCTTTGTTTTCCTGATGTGGTGCTCACCCTTTTCAGCTCTGCTGCTTAATTGGTTTTTATTGTACATACATTTGTTTTTGATGTGTGGGAGCTCGGTGCGTGGGGGGTGTGCGGATGTTAACGCCATTCAAAACACGATTCTCGCGGTCTCTGAAGGTGATATGATTTATTGTCGACATATCTGCCTGTTCAGGAGCAACACACACACTCACACAGTCCCAGTATTCCCCAGCACATAAATCAACCATCATTCAACCAACGTTCAACCCTCCCAGTGACAGAGATTTAGAGTTCGCAGGCGCCGCCGCGGTCCCTCGCGCTCCCCGTCTTCCTCTGGTGATTTAACGCCGGCGCTCAGAGCTCTGATTGATTATTTACAGGCCCAACATGTAGGTCCACATCCACTCTCCTCCTTCCTTTTCCCATCGCCACGCTTCTCAGTTTCACCGTAAACAAGTCATTTTTTTCTTCTCCGTGATGCCTGCCGCCGCCGCCACCCGGCCGGCCGCTGGACTCCCAGGTGGCCGCTGTGTTATGCTGTCTCAGCTAAAGATAGAGGAGAGAAGCTGAGTGATGTAGCGTCAGTTTAACCTCGACGCTTTGGCACCAATTAACCTCAGGAAAAGAAAAGAAACCTCCGGTGACCTCTAATGACCTTTGGTGACCTCAGGCGATCCTGTTGGCTTTAAAAACTGAGACCAAGAGGGCAACACAAGTCTGTGTGTGTGTGTGTGTGTGTGTGTGTGTGTGTGTGTCTGCGGTCACTTTGAGATTATTTTGCTTATCACAGGTACATTATGAAATGCTGTTTTCCATTTAAAGACTTTTTGGTCTTTAAGCCAAAAATAATACAAAAATAGTGAATAAAATAAACAATGTGGCCAGAAGTATGTGGACACTCAGCCACTGCAGCCATATGTGACAGCTGAACATTAACGTCTGCTCTGACAGCGTCCACTCTCCTGGTCTCAGACTGATGTTTAAGCTGCTGCAGAGATTTGCTCCCATTCAGACACCAGAGTGTCAGAGAGGTCAAACACTGCTGCTGGTGATCAGACCAGACCAGTCGAGTACTTTCACACCAAACTGGGAGAAAACCTTTCTGTTGAGCTGACTTTGTGCATGAGGATGCTGTCATGTTGAGAAAGTAAGGACACAAACTGTTGACAAGAAGCTGGAAGAACAATGTGGTCTTAAATATTATTGTTTGCTGCAGACTTCCCTTCGTTCACTAGCAGGGTTGTCCACATACTTTTGGCCATGTTGTGTGTTTACACAGCACCTCTCAGATGTTTCAGTGCAACACATTTTGCTTTACACATAAAAGTAGAGAGAATTACAGGACAATAAAACATTAAAGTCAGGGACCATTTGACACTTAAGGCTTAATTTCTTCTTAGCTGAGGGACTTACACGGTTGCACAGAATCCCTTTAAAGGTTTCCTTAGTTAAAGGGATAGCGCACCCAAAAATTGAAATTCAGCCATTATCTACTCACTCATATGCCAAGGGAGGCTCAGGTGAAGTTTTAGAGTCCTCACAACACTTACGGAGATCCGAAGGGGGAGTGGGTAGCAGCACAACTCCACCTAATGGAGGCTGACGGCGCCCCAGATTCAAACGTCCAAAAACACATCATTGAAACCACAAAATATCTCCATACTGCTCATCCGTAGTGATCCAAGTGTCCTGAAGCCCCGACATAAAAAGTTGTTTGGAAAAACCTCATTTGAACTCTGTTTTTAGCCTCATTGTAGCCTGTAGCTCTGACTGCCTCTCTGGGCACTGCAATCATGTGTGTGTGCACCAGTGAATGTGAATGTACACTAGTAGAGTGCATAATACACACAGTATACAGTATGTGTATATGTGTGTACATATATGTGATGGTCCAAAGCGTTTTGGTATTGAGGCTTCCTGTCAGACTACAAACACTCGCTGCTCCCTGGAGGAACACCTGAACCCCCAGCACACCTCCACCTCCTCCAATCCCACAATCCTCCCCACCACCACCACGTACCCATCAACCCCCAGGAGAGCTGCTGTCACACACACTGACAGCCTCTGTGTGTGTGTGTGTGTGTGTGTGTGTGTGTTCAGCAGGTGTCTGTGCATGCCTCACATTCACTTTCAAATCCACTTCAGTGACAGAAAAAAACATACTGTATATCTGTGTTTCAGAAATCGTCAAGTATTGAAACGGTTACGTAGAAATATTCCAGAGAGGAAACAGATCGCTTCCGACAGCTGCTCCTCCTCCTCTCAGTCAGTTGTTGGTAGATTTCTGAGGCTGCGTAAAGCTCTTCATGTTTCTGATTTACTATCTTTCAGATATATTGAAGGGAACAGACACTGATCAGATATTCAGTATTTATCAGGACTCAGAGGAAAAAGCAGCTCTGATCTGTCTGCACATGAATCTCTAACAAACTGCAGCTAGTTTACCTCCAAAAAACCAGTGTGGATTTCTGAACACACACTGGTTCACAATTAAAACACAGCCTTTAATTTAAAATGTATTTCCTAATTTTAAAAATAGTTTTGGCTCTAAAACAAGTTGGTTTACCTTTGATTTATTTCTGACATGAAGTGCATCAGTTCACTCTAAAACATCTTTTTTAAAATGGTTTGTTTTTATACAGACGTCTTGGTTTACTACTGACGGGCATTATCTCTGTATGAAATCCACTGCTGTACCTTCAGAGAAATGTTTCCTTTAACTCACAGACTGTGTCTCAAAGTGTTCAAACATGTAAAGATTCTTAAAGCTGCGCTGATCAATATTTTTCAAAACTATGATGAAAGGACTCGCTCACAGTGAGAAACCCACTGGCGGTTTTCTCCGTCTCTGCAGCTCTGTGGAGCGTTTGAGCCTCTTTTAGCTCCTAGTTTTGGGCACATTTCCTGCCCGGTTTGAGCTCAGCTGTTGTCGACAAACGAGCTCAGATAAACCCTCTGTGCTCGACCCGCTGTCAATGTTCTCAGGAGTGGCGGAGGCCAAACAGAGCTAAAACAGAGAGATTACAGAACTTATATACATCAGGTGACACAAACACTGATGATGATGACAACGTGTGCTCTGTTGCTAACCTGTTTGACATCATAACTTTATTAGGTAATACGTCGGATGGTGCATTTACAAGTTGCTCTGCTGCCCCCAAGTGGCCAAAAATACTAATTAGTGCAGCTTTAAGAGAAAATGATCAGCCGAGTTTTTCTTTTTTACCCTGGTTCGTACATTTATTCAGAAAAACAATATTTTCCAAGTGATATCCAACCCAGTCTCACTCCAGAGTCATCGAAATCTGGTGCTTGGTCTGTAACTCCGGGCGTCAGACACTGACAAAACCGTCCTTTCATGTCAGCAACAACCATCCACTTTCACCCGGGAGGCCGGTGCTCACTTCCTGTGAGACTGTAAAGCCAAACCCTGTTCTTTTTTTTTCCTAAACCCAACCACGTGTGTGTGTTTCAACATCACTTCGCTGTGTTCTACTGACGTAGTGCTTTTATTTTGAAAGAGACTGTATGCAAACTGTACATTTCCTGTGAAAACAGAAGTGTATTTTGAAAACAGACAACGTATGTAACAGGCTGAAGTTGACACGGCGTCCCAGAACGTCAACAACCAACACACCCAGGGTACCTTGGACGTCATATGTGGACGTGGAAAGTCCATGACCAAACGTGGACATGTGACGAGGTCACAGTGAGGATGAGTTGTGATATCTCATGGAACAAACATACTTTTCATGACAACACCAAACTGATCAGTCACAGTTTTTATCAGTGAAGGTTTGGATGAGTTAGTAAAGTTCGGACCACTGACGTGAATGTAAGAAAATAATTCCCTACTCATTGAGTCACACAGGAAGTCCTCCTCACAGTCACAACATATTAGTATAGATGTTTTATAATAATTAGTCACTATATTGTGATGAGTAACTC